CTCCGCGGTCATTGTTGTCGCGCTGCTGATGACGTCACGTACGCGCTTTAATCGGGCGCGCTTTAGTGGACCGCAGTTTTGTCGTGCCACGCTTGTTCGTATCCATTTGTTGGTCCACACAGGTCCTTCTCACAGGCGCTGTGCCAGGCCTGCACATCCACAGTTGATCTTCCTAACTGAAGTACAGGAAGATGAAAACATGACAGGGTCCACATACCAATAAAGAAGAATATTTGTAGCTCAGGGTTGACTCGAGGGGTGCTTGGTGCTCTCTGAGCTTGGTTGGTTTTTTTGCAGAAGTTTCCTTACCCAAATTAGGCAACATCACCAGTGCTAGTAAGGAGTGGGGTTTGCTCTCAGTTTATATTGTAATGGCTTGCCCTGCGCGGGAGTGGTCCTGGTGGTTCTTTAAATTGGCTATTTAGTGTTGACTTTCAATCAGAATAAAGTTGGAAGGGACCTTGGAGGTCTTCTAGTCCAACCCCCTGCTCAAGCAGGAGGCCCTCTACCAGTGATTGTCCAGTCTCTTCTTTATAACCTCCAGTGATGGAGCACGCACAGCTTCTGAAGGCAAGCCATTCCACTGGTTAATTGTTCTCACTGTTAGGAAGTTTCTCCTTAATTCTAGGTTGCTTCTCTCCTTGATTAGCTTCCACCCATTTTTTGGCAATTCCTTGATTGGGGTATTGTTTACTTCGTAATTGTTGGTCTGATATTAATCTTGGAGTCAATCTTCCCTCAATTGGTTGCTGGTGGGGAAGGGGTTGGGTCTTTTTGTATCCTTTTTAACTTGTTGATTCTCTCTTTGAAGGTCTACATATTTAGTAGGCGCTTGTCTTGCTCTGATGAATTGAATAGGGTTTGTTTTCCAAAAGCCTGGCATTTCCTCTTCTTGTTTTCCTAGGCTTTTAACTGGCTCCTCTGCAACGTCATACAAACCACGTCCCTCCATGACATTCTTTGGCATTTTGTGGCCTCTCTTACTCCAGCCCCTGTAGAGGCTGAGGAAGAAGAAGATGAGGAAAACAAAGCCAACAAGGAAGCCATCGAACAAGTAAATCAAAGGGATTGCATGATCTTTACAATCAATTTTTGTTTACATGTTTGGAAAACCACTGTGCATTTTTCTCTCTCTCTTAGAATAGTTGTATCAAGGTAGGGGCGAAAAAAAATATCCTGTTTGGGGTTTTTTTCACAGCAATCTACGGATCACCCATGGTTCCTTTGTGGAGACTATTTCAAAGACTAATTTGTAACCCAAAGAGAGTGTGTGCTGTGTGGGTGCATAGATACAGCAGCTGTAGCTTTGCCAGGGTGTAAATACCGTGTTTCCCCCAAAATAAGACAGGGTCTTATTTTCTTTTGTCCCCCAAAATAAGCACTTGGCCTTATTTTCAGGGGGGGGTCTTATTATTTTTGAGGTGCAGGAGGCGGCAAGCAGAGTCACCTCATGGCTGCTGCTGTGTTGCAATATTTTCAGGGGAGGGCTTATTTTAGCACATGCACTCAAAAGCCTGATCGAGCTTATTATCCGGGGAGGTCTTATTTTCGGGGAAACAGGGTATGCCAGTCAAGTTTCCTTACTCACTTTGTGAGAAATTAGATTTTCTCAAAGTCAGGGCTTCTGTCACTTCTTTGACAGATGGTGGCCTTTTTTAGGCCAGAGAGAATTCCAGAGAGAATGGCTTAAATTAGTCAATGCATAAAATAGCTAGGAAAATGGACTGGCCCGTTGTCACATTTAAAAAACAAAGGTGGTACTTCAGCAAGACGACTGTTTTGAAATCAGTAATCAAGGAATGTCATGAAATGCAATATTTTTCCCTCAGGTTTTTGAAAAGGATGGATCTTTTTAAGAATGATGACTCAGAATCATTGATTCTTCGCTTTTCTTCAGCATATTTCCGTTATGCTAGAAGCGGGCCTTTTAAATTTATTTTTTTTCCTTTTAGGTTTAAATTGTTTATGCTGCTTTTGTAAGTTATTTAAATGTTTGGATTTGTCTTATTTAGCTTGCTATTCTTTGATATGGATCTTACTGCTGTCGGGGTTCCAAATAGCATCCAAAAGTAAATCAGAGTCCAAGGCAAAGTATTCCTCAAAGTTCCAATTTATTAAGAGATCCATGTTGGCTCATCTGGGAAAACCCACATCTGAAAGCTTCCCAGTTTTCCCACCCAGTTGAAAGTTCAAGATCTTGCCCCAACATCCACAAGTCCATCACATGGTCCAATCTCCCACTCCCATGTTGGCAATTCCACCCATCCAGTTCTGGCCAGGTGCAGAGATAAAGGAATTTCTCAAAAGAATTTTGTGACGGATACATACCATCCAACTATATAATATCCTCCCTCCCATTTTCCCACAATAGAAAATGCATAGTAGAATAATAGGATGTGTGGCAGGCCTAATGTCCAAAAGAAAAATGACTGCAGGCCTGACAACTGCTTTATGAAGTTCAGCTCGCTGCTTTACAGCTGTGTCTGTGTGTGCATGTGTCAGAAGCCTCCTTGGGAGAACCTCAGGGTGGAGCAGCGTGAAATAACTAATTCAATGCTACTTGTGCTTGATGCGTAGGAAAAGGACACACGGGTTTGCGAGCATCCATTGTCGGATATCGTGATTGCTGGAGAAGCCGCACATCCGCTCCCTCACACTTTTCACCGTCTGCTCCAGACCATCTCTGACCTGATGATGTTGCTGCCGAGCGGAAGTTCGTTACAGCAGATGGCACTGAGGTGGGCTGGTCCGGGGGCAGGCAGGCAGGCTCCACATGTTTAGGGGCAGAGCCAAAATTTCACTAGGAAAACTTGGCTGTGGTGATGATGGTAGCCAGGCTTTTGACTGTGGGTCTCCCTGGTCTTTTGTGTGCTGGCTCTTGCAACTCTTCCAAGTTGACCTTAGTGATACCTGGGGGTGAGTTACTTTGGAAGGCTTCTTCTAGGCCCAGCCCTCATTTGGAGAACACATAAGTATTCTGACGGCCCTGCCTGGTCGTTCCATTTCACCCCTTTGGAGTCCATTGCTGGATGTTTACACATTGCTGGAAGGGGGTCCCAGAGCTGCTTATAAGAGCATCTACCCCCCCCCTACCTTTCAAAACATCACCCATTCTCCCAGGTGCGTTATCAGAATTTGTTATCCCATTGGCCAAATTTCAGCAATGCCCTTCCAGATCTTTTTATTTTATTTTATTTTTTATTTAATTTACTTTATTTACTTTATTTATTTTACTTTACTTTACTCTATTTATTTTACTTTACTTTACTCTATTTATTTTTTTATTTTACTTTTCTTTATTATTTTATTTTATTAATATTATTTGATTATTTTATTTTATTTTATTATTTTATTTATTTTATTTTATTATTTTATTTATTTTATTTTATTATTTTATTTATTTTATTTTATTTATTGGTTTTTTTATTTTATTTATTTTATTTTAATATTTTTTATTTTATTTACTTTATTTTATTTTACTCTACTTTATTATTTTATTTTACTTTACTTTATTATTATTTTATTTATTTTATTATTTTATTATATTTTATTATTTTATTATTTTATTATTTTATTATTTTATTATTTTATTATTTTATTATTTTATTAT